GGATCCCGAGAGACGCTCGGGAACCACCTCCGCCCTTCCCCCACTCCCGGCCTGCAGCGCCCCCGCACCCCACCCAGGCTTCTCGGGCTTTACGCCTCCTTATTCTGAAAGTTCAATAACTTCCCGCCTCCGGGGGCTAGAGCATAAGGTGCCTAGCATCCCCCAGAAAACGGCCACAAGAACATGTGTTTCTCGAGCCTCGCACACTACTTTCCTCTGAGGATGTAGCGATGCGGTACCTGCCGGCCAGGCTCGCAGACCCGCTGCTCCCCCGCCGCGCCCACTTCGAACAAAGCTGCCCGCGGCCCCACCCCAGCGGATCCTGGGCCAGCGACGCCAGGCCCCCTCTGCCGGCGCTCTGCTCATAGGACCATGTGGCCCGGTGTCGTGCAGCTGTTTCTCTTATTTGCGCCTGGCCCCCTGGCCCAGCTTTTATGCCCCAACGGGTTTCACACCTGCTTCAGGCCCGGTCTTAAAACAGCCAGGCATGATGATATTTTAGAAATAAGGTGGTCTGTTAATAGTGAACCCTTAAATCTTTTATTTCTTTTCCTATCTTTGGAGACAGCATCTCAAAATATGTTTTCGTTTGACCGAAACGCCAGAGAACTAGTGTTGAGGATTTCTCGGGTCCATTGAAAAGCTTGGGAAGTGTGTGAAAGCTGGAGAAGTACACTGGAGATTTTCAAAGGAGCCAGGCGTGAAGGGAAGCTAACTGCTCTCCCAGCCCTTGGCAGAACCGTTCCCCAGCACTGACCAATGTGGCTGATGGTGTCAAAGAAATTCCGCGTAGGAATTTGAAGTTTTGTGAGGTCAAGGGTTGTGTCTCATGTCTTTTTAAAGTCTCCACAGTAGAAGATGATATTGTAATAAGAGTAGTTGAAATAAAAGCCTATGAGCAGTCAATTTAGGGATGAAACAACTAAATACAAATAATGCACACGATTTTTGTTTACTCTAGATTGGTTTTCTTAGGAGATGAATAGTTTGTGTAATATATGCCCTTGCTAGTTATCTCAGTCTCTGTTATTTTGGGAGATAAAGATTATCAACCCCATTTTCCCAGTGAGTGAACTGAGGCTCCAGCAGAAATTACACTTCAAAGCAAGGATTTGAACCAGGATTAAAAGGCGCTAACACTGTACGTTCCATTGTCTTGTCTCCCATTTTTTACCATGACAATTGAGCTTTTACTGATTTTGCTTTTTTAAAGTATCGATGCACAACTTAAATGACTACAATTATATATCTTCATAATATTGGCGTTAGAGTACCCTGACTGCCTTTCTGTATTGGTTACTTCTGATTTTTGCTTCATAGGATCATACTGTAGGTTATGTGATATATCCAAACCTTGACAAATGACAGACACCCAATTCAGAGTAATAATGAATGTCTCACTGCAGGAGAATTTAAACAAATGGCGTCCAAATCAAGTCAGGTTTTCATATCGAACAGATTTTTTTGAAACTATACCTTTATCGGAAAATCACTGTCAGGGTTGCTACTATCTCCATTTTTTGAAAGGATAATACAGGTAGCATGTGTTACAGGCAAAATACTGAATTGAGCATTGTAATCAATCATAGATAATGTTTGTTATGATCAAAAATATCAGGAAAAGTATAAATTTTTATTTCATACTTAATCTACATGGATATAAAACATAAGGCTGAAAGAATCAAGAGGTAACTGGGAGTATTTTATTAAACCTTTCATAATAATTACCATTTCCATAATATTTACATTGGTAACATGTTTTCATATCCTTTATCACATTGACTTAATGAGAAAATTATCTAAAAGTAGTCTTGGTAATTGCTACTATCTCCATTTTTTGCAAGGAGGAAATTGAAGCTCATGGAGATTAAATGACCTGCTGAAAGCCACGTGTCTAATAATTTCAAAATCAGGTCTATAAGCCAGGTTCACTGACTTCAGAGAAAAGATTTTTTTTTTTTTACCATGTCAGATCAAAAAAATCTCAGATGACTACTTCTTAGTACTTACATGTTTTATTTCACCAAGTATGACCAGGTTTTATTAAAACTTTATTACTGATGAATAAAACATTTCAATTTTGAGACCTTCTTGGCAGTCCGTGTTATTTCACCCTTAGTTTTCCTCACGCTGTACATAGCCATATTGAAACACTGACACAAGAAATTACTCCATTCCTTGTTGTCCGGAAATGAGTCCAGCAGCTTACAGCAGCATTACTTTTGTTCAAGACTAATTTTTAGGGCTGCGTAAGGTTCCCAACAAAATTTAGAGGAAAGTGTAGAGATTTCTCCTTAGCACTGTGTAATGTTCTATTGTCTGGATGGACCACAGTTTATTTATTTATTCACTCACTGCAGGTTATCTCAATTGCTTCCACGTTCTATAAACACCGCATGCAGGTTTTTGTGTGGACATAAGCTTTCACCTCCTTCGGGTAAATACCAAGGAGTACTAGACAGCATTACTTTTTAAAATATATGTATTAATTATGAGATTATTTCTAGAGAAAATTTAAATAAAGTAATACCATTAGAATGAAATTAAAGTAATCTAAATTTAACTTATTTCTTGAAAGAATATATATATGCATTAATATAATACATTATTCTCTGAGAATAGTCTTTGTTCTACATAGAGTATTTTCTTTAGCCATGTTGTTATTATTGATTATAAAATGACAATGTGGATTTTTATTTATTTTTTACTATTTTTTATTTTTTATATTTTAATTTATTTATTTAAATTAGTTTCAAGTATACAGTACATTGGTTAGACATCTATATAGTTCATAAAACGATCCCCCCAATTGCTCCCTCCCTCCCCTGGCCCTCCATCTAGCCATCATATTAATGCTAACTGCATGTGGATTTTTTAAATGTTAAATTATTAACAAAGATAATTTATCTATGTACAAACTTATTTTAGACTAGTGAATCTCATATTTGAGGTCCTACCAAGTTCTGATCACTGTGTTGGTCCATCATAAAAGGCATTATATTTGTTTCTCATAAAATTCCTGAAAGGTAAACATAACCATCTCCATGTTGCATGTGAGGAAACAAAGACCCAAGAGGACTAACATACCCAAGAGACACAGTCAACAAGAGGCAACACGATGGCTCAAGCTTAAGGTGGCTCGACTCTCAACCACACACCTTCACACGACACATACCAGCCTGGCCTTGCCTGGGCTCCTTGAATCTGCTGGGCTGAGAGCTCCACAGTGACCTGGAGAGAAGTTAGTAAACAGTGGGAATGTCAACTAGGCCCCAGGATAAGACCCCAGTAGAGTGAGTTTATACCGTTACCCAGAGGCTTTCATTTTATTCACACAAGGAGAGCCAAATCAGATGGCACTGGGATATTTCTCAGAGTTAGATACCTTGGTTCTACTCCCAGCTCAGTTGACAACCAACCAACAATGGGGACTGAAGCTACTTTGCCTCATCGAATCTGTCAAGTTGCTATGGTTTAATTGCAAAGTTGGGTTTTTCAATGAGCACTAGAGACATCCATCATATCAACACATCTGATTGGCTGTGTCACAAAGAATTAGCCAGTGTCTATACTGCAAAAAAAGGAGGGCGGATAGTTGAAATGATTAACTGGATAGTTAGTACAACTACAAAGTTCTAGTAGAAAAAAAAATCTAAATTATTTTAACTCCTAGCATGGATGGATTAAATCAATCGGACAATTGCTTAAATTGTCATTTCATCTGGCCTTCATATGCACAGTTTTTGAACTGTGACTTAATACTTCAAAATCACCCCGATAGTCTAAATTCCACTATGATTACCTGGGACTAAATTCCACTATGATTACCTGTGACCATTATGAGTTCATTCTTTTTTATGGATGAGTAATATTCCATTGAAAAAATATATATATATATATATATCTCACAGTAGCTAGTATACACTATGTCTAACTCAACAGTAAAAAAGGAAATATCTGATGATAATGTAAGCCACACCATAATTCTCACTCACCCCTACATTCTTAAAAATGAATTCTGACTTTAAATCAAGTGATGTAAAAGTAATGTGTATTTGCTGCATTTGGATGCCCATGAAGAATGGACGTTGACTGTGGGGTCTCTCATATCTTTATTCCATTCTGGTAGTAGTCACTGCTTTCTTTTACATTTTGTTCCTTTTATGGTCCCAATGCTGTTATTGAGACCAACAATGTGGAATTAGTAGATGTCATAAAACTATCTGGACACCTCTGATATCCCCCATTTGTTCACTTGCGCTAAAGAGGAATTTACTGACTCAACAGATTTTTAGTGTTTTTGACAATTACAGTAATTTTTTCTGCAGTAAATCACTTAAACAAATATAGGCAATGTGTACCATCTCAATGCTTGTCTAAG